TCTTTCTTCTTTTTTTCTTCCCCTTCTCCCCATCCTCATCGGCATGAGCATCCATTCTACTTTCTTTTCCTCCTTCCGCCGCACTGACACCCGGAATCCTATCGGTAAAAACGAGTTTTTAGAAGAAAAAAATGGAACGCATTGGTGAGCCAGTGTCAAAGGTTAAAGTAGCTAATTATAATTTTTGCCCCACATGGACACCATTTAAAAAAAAGATAAAACGAAATTTAGGCACCTCGGCCGGTGTTTCCTCCGTTCCTGCCAATGGTCTGTAGTACAACAAAAAAACGCAGCATTCTCCTTACTAAGATACTGTTGCCTCCAGTTTTGCGAACTATTTTACCTTAATGCTAAACACGACAGTCTTGTTTACTGTGCCCTCTTTGATGTGTGTGTGTTCGTCCACATAGATGTTCAGGCTCCTCTAACCATCTTCCTCCCCCCCATCCCTTTCTGTTTGTCAGGGCATGTTTACCAGCCGTCAGCTCTGGGACTACTACTCCGATCTCCAGTCGCCAGATTTCAAAACGCACTTCGCCATAGTGCACAACCGCTTCTCCACAAATACCTTCCCCTCCTGGTCTCGTGCGCATCCTCAACGCATGATGGCGCACAATGGGGAGATCAACACCCTGCGGGTATGAGGCGGGAAAGAGATCCGTTGTTGGCGTTCTCTTGTAGCAAATTGTCTCCCCACAGGAGACCTCTTACTAATAAACACACACACACAGCTGTAAGCAGGGGGAGGAGGGAGTTGAAACGGTGTTGTTTGCAAACATTTATTCTGGAAAAGTGTAACAATACGTAGCCAAGTAGGATACCTGAGCGCCGATTCATCTCTGCCACTGATGAACAAGATCACTGATGCTTGGTCGGTATAAATCCACTGGTTTTGATGCTAAGGCATGTTTGAATCCAGCTTCCACCTTAGTTTTGTTCTTTCTTTGTGGGATCCAATCCATCCTATCGTTATAGTCGCTATGTGACTGCCTGCTTGGGCTCTAATTGTGAGCTCGAGAGTGAAGGGGAACTTAATTGTTCCTCTACGAGATCGGCGAAGCCCGTATATTCATCATCTTCCCGATCGCAACCCAAAAAGCAACGAACCCGGTTTGCAATTGTACAGTGGTAAACTTAACGACCAAAAGTTTTAGGTTCGAATCTCGAGGGCTCGAAACCTTGACATCGGGTATGACGGGCTGATGACGCCTAACAAGCTAGAAATGGCCATTCCGGTCTCCCTATGCTTTGTGGGATCC